TGGCATTCAGTAGAGAAGAACCTCTGATACTTGTCTAGCAGATTTTCTACTCTGTGGTCCACCAGAAATAAGTGGCAAACGCGCCAGTGTTCTCATGTGCACCAGCCAGTGTCACCACAGAGAGTAAGAAGCACCTTGACGCTGGAACTGGCACAAAAATTCCTTTGATTTTTTTTTTTTTGCTTTCTGAGTAATTGAAGGATGAGCTGCAGCAGTACTACTGACAGAGAAAACAATTCTACAACTGATTCTATATACATCCCTGTATGGTGAGGAAGTTTTACAACAGGAAAGTGACAGGATACAATCTGGTAACACTCTGTACTCCAGCTCCTTCAAGGATGTGGTCCACTGAAAGCAGTGGGCTTTGCAAAGCTCTTAAGGCCAACCAGACTATATTTTCCAGGCATCTAAATATCCTGTCAGTGTCTACTCCTATCTTCAAATCCCCAAAAAGTTCTCTACAACAACTTATTCTGAAAAAACATTCACACGCCATTTGGAATAGGCAAAAAAGAACATTACTATACAAAAGACTTAACATTGATCCTTAAGAAAGCATTATTTTTTAGTTCTATTAAACTAAATGCATGTGATTAAAGAGTAAAGTATCTAAACTAGATTTGTGCAAGATGTTACTGAACCCAGTAAAAGAGATACCAAAGTATCTACTGTAAATTAAGTTTGTTGCAGTTATTTCTCTTGTAGAAATAGGATCATTTTATATGATAAGGTTGAGTAAATAAATTTTTCATTAAGTATCTGTAGTTACAAAAAACCCCAACTTTTGACTATTAACTTACTATTGACAAATACCAAGGGTCTGTTGGATTTCGGAATTCTTTTTGGGAGGGGCTGGTGGCTGTTTCGGTTTGGGGTTTTTTTGTTACACAAAGCCTGATAAGGCTATCCTCAGGAAAATGAGAACGTGTATTTCCCAAACCAGACTGTATAATTTAGCCATTGCATCTTTCCTTTCCTTAGTGGAAAAAGCAATATTCTTACCATATGAAGTCACTTTGAAGGCATCCCAAATAAAGGTCTGAAGATAGTCAGGACACTAATCTATCCTGAAGAAAGAAAATACTACTTATAAAAGAATGCAGACTGTAAAAATCATCCAAGAGGCAGCAGTTAAACCTTTCTTGGAATAGTTACAGCTGAGGAGAGAATGGACACCAATCACCAACTAAACATTGCATAACAGGTGATAGAAGCAAGCAGTACCAAATGGAAAACTATTCTGACCCATTCAAATGCAGATTTTTTCCAAGGTTTTAAAGGAAGAAGATAATAGCATAACGCTCATTTTTTCAAATCCTCTTTCATAAGATTCCTCATAAAGTACATGTAGTTAATGAGAAGACTATCAAATGTAACTAACAGTTATAGAGCATTAGATAACAGGTAGGAAGGAGAGGACATGAGGAGAAATTATGCTTTCGGTTACGCCAGGTAACTGTGGAGTGCTACTAATTAATAATGAAAGCAATTCTTACAAGCTGGTTTTAGAGAAGACAGAAATAAGAGCTTATCACAACGTTTTCTAAGAGCCGTCCCCACTGATGATAAGACACGTAGCTTGAGGAAAGGAAGCACCGTCTTTGGCAGCTATCCATGATACCTGCACAACAGTGGTTTTCTGAAGTTCTGCAGAAAACTGTGAGAAAGCAGAAATCTGTACTATGTGGTTAATTAGAATTTTTGGAGAAAAAAGACCCAAAAAATTTAAAGCATTCTACAAAGGACCTTCAAACTAAAAGGGCCATTTGCTGTGAAACACAGAAAACAGCCAAAACTAAACCACAAACTCCTGTTTCATAAACAATGGCAGGAAATACTAAAATCCTTCTGTAGCATACTTATCTTAAAACTAAAAGACTAACATTTTGTAACCTATAATAATCCTGCTTAGATGCTCTCCAAAACACCACTGCTTTTCCTCAATAATATGCAATTGTAACTATGAAAAGTACTTTTTTGAAAAGGTTCTGCTAAGCCTAAAAACAACATTTGATTTAACAATGTATTTTTACAGCTTTTCTAGTATCTCGTGCTTGTGGAGCAGAACTTCTTCTGGTGGTCATAAAGTGGTGGATAACACAACATTCATGTAGACTTAGATGTATTAGTAGCCTACACCAATCCCACTCCTTCAGTCTGCCCACAAAACGATGGAAGAGCATTCTGACGTACAGGAACACACAGCCTAAAATCTTGCAGAGTGGCGAGACACAGGATGAGAAATTACTCTGAGCTGACAGTGGCACTCAAGGCTACACAAACTAACACATCCCCACTGTTAAAGAAACGTGGATGGAGAAAGGTGCGAGAGCTCTGTTAGCACTCAGCTTTTGTTCCATACTCAAGGCCACTAAGCAGCAAGCTGGTCATGGTTCAGTCACAAGTACTTCCACTGCAATTCCAAGCATAGATTTATAGAATAAGGACCATTACTGCCCCAATTAATTTAACCAGGGTTGGGGAACAAAAAGGAGAAGAAATCAAAACAAATTCTCCCTTACTTAACTGTAATGCAACTACAGTAAAAATTTGAATTCCCTCATAGAGCCTCTGTCACAACAACTACACTGGCACAACTGCACTGAGAGTGCCTGCTGGCACAGACACAGCTTATGTCGACAGATGATTTACTGCTGACACAGCAATCCCATAATTTCAAACAAACTTTGTTCTTTCCTTTCAGAGGAGGAATTTTCTTCCAATATGCTGTTTCCTTGACCTGTCTGCATTGCCCCAGCTGGGCCTACTCTGCCAACTTATACGAAGAGATTCACATAATTTCCAAGTGAGGAACTGCAGTTCTCAAGTCAAAACACTCTTCTATTGTAACTTTCTACAGTTCTTTTTATACTATAAACTTTGCATTCTCTGAGTGGGATAAATACTAACTACTCCAACTTTGTTATCAACCAACACAGCTGATTCTGGGAATACAGATAAGTCTCAAACTTAAGAATATTAAAGTTAATTTGACTTCATGAAGAATTCTCAATAATAAAGTATTATAGAGACTTCAGAAGAGGAAAATGATTAAGTAACAACAAAACTGATGAGCACAAGAAATAGTCAACTTTGATATTAAACTGTCTTTTTTTCCCAAGCCTTCTACAAAACTTACAATACTCCACTTCAAAAGATCAAAAGGTGAACTTTACCTGCTATTACAAAACCAACTTTTCTTCTTTCCTAAAAAAGGAAATGTGAAAGACTAATGCTTATATTGTCAAAGTCTCTTCAGCTCTTCACCTCACCCCACCAGCAAGTAGACTGGGGGGCACAAGAGGCTGGGAGAAGACACAGCAGGGACAGCTGATCCCAACTGGACAAAAGGGACATTCCATAACATATAAACACATAGTCAGTGTATAAACTAAAGGCAAAGCTGGACAAGGGCTGCTACTTGGGAACTGGCTGGAACTGGGCAGTGGGTGGTGAGCAACTGCATTGGGCATCACTTGTTTTGTATATTCTAATTATTTTATCATTATTATCATCCCTTACTTTTCTGTCCTATTAAACTGTCTTTATCTCAAAACAAGAATTTTACTTTTTTTTTTTTCCTGATTCTCTTCCCCATCCCACTGGGGATGTGGGGTGTTGAGTTGAGTGCCTGTGCAGTGTTTAGCTGCCTGCTGGGCTAAACCATGACATCCAGTCAGCAGGGACCTCCTCAGACTCTCAAGACCTTTAATACATGATCAAGAGAGGCCTTGCCGTAACATCCAATGGGTCTTTCAGTACTCCAGGACAAAATCCATCAGGCCCCAGGGACTTCTGAACATTCAGTTGAAACAGCTGGTACCTGACAATTTCAGTGTCCACAAATGAAAACTCATTATTCCCACACCTGTAACCCTCAGACACAGGGTACTGAGCAGCCCAAGGCATTTCATGTTTTTTCCCTGTGTGTAAGAACCATGGTTCTGTATCCTCAAATTCACTTAAAACCAACAGGTTTCTAGCTGGCAACTCTGATGGTAAATGTTACAACCATATTTCAAATAATGATTGTAAAAAAAAAAAAAAAATCAATCAAAATCATTAACAGTTTGAACTTGAATTTCAAAGTACATTACACATTTTTAAATGTTATTGGGGAAAAATACAGCACAAACAGGAAGCTCAGTTACAACTAAAATTCTTTTAATATACCTTTATTCTGCCCTTAGAAATAACATATCATGTTTCAGGGAAGCATATTATTTACATTTGTTACATTTGAAGACAAGAATGTACTTTAAGATGCCTAACTAGGAATCACTGGTCAACCACAATAAACTATGATACTAAGCTGATACATATCCTTTCCAGTAACAATGACAACAGGGTGGAGTGTTCAAAATGGTATTTAAACCAGCAAAAATTATTTCCTTAAAGTTCAGGATTATTTTCTGTTCTGGAAACAAAGAAAACAATTCTGCACAAGTCTGAATTCTGGAGACAAAAGCCCACACCCAGAAATATGGTAACATGAAGAGTAATGAGCTGGTAACTTTGAGAAAAATGTATAATTTCAAATGCAGTGACTGGATTCTGATATACACAATTTTTGCTGCAGTGATTTAAAAAAACAACTCTCTTCAACTATCACTTCAACTCTCTTGGGGAGGTTAACATATCCACAGAGGAACTCCCAGAAGGGAATGGACGTCTACAGTTTTTTAGCACTTTAACACAAACCTATGTTCTGTTATACTGGTAAGGGCTGCTGCTGAAGCAGCTCAGGTACAGGCACACTTAATAATTGCACTGAAATTTCACTGTTCTTTTCAGTGTTCTTTTCAATGTTGACATAGTAAGAGACAAAGAAATAGCATTTTTGCTGAATAATTTTCAAGACAGCTAGTAATTACTCACTGAAGTTTAATCCATGAGATTATGTAATCTCCAATCATAATATTGAAAAGACTAAGAAATGTGTTATTTCTTTTTGTTATTTTTAATCAGTAAGCACACAAACTGAAGAACCATCTTACCTGACAGAGTTTCGGCTCCTGTTTTCTATTTTCATTAAAATTTGTACATCTGACTGAGGAGATGCTGTATAGATTTTTAATCTGAAAAGAAAAATGCAGTAAAGATGAAGAAACAGTGATATACAATGACTTTTCTTCTTATCATCCATAAGAGATGGATATATTTTGCTTGTCAACAGCCAGAAGAATGTATTTTTTTCATGAAGACAGTTTGCCACATACTAAGTATTTCCTATAAATGAGGGTTATAATTACTAGTATGTTTTTCTAATTACTCTAAAGAAAAGATTTACTGTCCCCTTGATTGAGGTTAATTATGGTTACATTTTTCAGAATTAGTTACTTTATTTGATCTTTATGCCAGGAGCCGATTTCTTAATCTTTTCCTGGTTTAAATTTGGTGGTTATACCCCAGGGTTTGTTGGTTGGTGAATGTTAGGGTGATTTTCATCACATGTATTGTTGACTGGGAACTCAGCTCTGCAAGACGAAAGTGCAGCTAATTTAAGGTATTTATTCAGAACCATTCCCTTCTTTTATTAGTGCATTAGATGAAATAGGCAGAAAAGTTATTCAATACACACCTTTGACAAACTACAGGATCTGACTCCACTGGATCAATGTACGGCTTAAGGATATCAGTGAGTGTTTTATCATCAGGCACCCTTTCACCAGAGATAAAAATCAAATATGTGAGACATGGTTCATCATGTACACAAAAATCTATTATGAGTCACTTGGAGGAACCTGTATATTTGCACGCTAGAGTGGCACAATTGAGTAGTTTATGGGAGGATCATAAATGTGTACCAGTACTGCATAGACATCGACAGCTTTGTCTCCATTTCAGCACTGGAATTTCACAGGCATATACAAGGAGTATACAGATGCATCTCTAGTTTCTAACCCTGCAATAGAAACATGCTGCCTCTACAGCTCTAGAAGCAGACAAGGGCATATTTCTCACCCCCCTTCAGGCTAGGAAAAAAGGAGAAAGATTTGTCAACAAAAGCTTATTTTTCAGCCTTTTCAAAATGTGCTCGTGGGCTTTCCTACAAAGCAAACAATGCAACCATTTCACCCTATATGAAGGTCAGCTCCAGAGTGCAGGCAAGGAGGGATGGCAAATCTTGCTGAACATCTGCTCCATGAGAATAGAGTATGTTAGGTGTATGGGTATTGCTATTATGAATACACAAGCTGCTGTTTATTTAGAGAAAAGGATTAACAACCAAACATTCTGACTGATTTGGAAAGCCTGCTAGCTTTCAAAGAGGAAAGGACTATACAACTTTTCAACATTTTTAAAAATTTAAATGCCCTTTTAATTAAGACTAAAATTAATTCCCGAGTTTACCTTACGTAACAGAACTAGATAAGAACTGATCAAAATGTTTTGCAATTCAACTTCAGCAGATTAATTTAAACTTTATAAAAATCTGTTTTTCAAGTTCTGTACCGTTTTAAAGTGTACTCAGCATGACAGTGAGGAAATACGAGCTTCAAATGCCAGTAGAACTTGTTCTCCCTAAAAAAAAAAAAGAAATGCATATTCTTAGTGTTAGTTGATAACTGCTACTTGTTTTTTCTATGATAAAGCTTGGTAGCCTGTAATATGGATGCACGAGAAAATACATAGTTAAGATTTTGAATGGCTTCAAAGAATAAAAGGGACATGCAGAGAAGCTGAAGCGCCCTTTGAAAGATGCAATGCTCCCAGATCCTGCTGAATTTCAAGTCCTGTTCCTTACAAATACATCAATTAATTGATCAACAGTATTTCACATTTTAAAAGGGAGTATATTCCACATGCCCTTTAATTTCATATCACAGAGGACAGATTGCCAAACCTGTGCAGCAAAAACAGCCACAAGTCCCAGCTGCGGCCAGGTCCTCAAAAAACATAAAACAGGGGACTCGACTTTTCCCAGCAGTGATGGCCTCAACAGAAAGTCTGTCATGGTCAAGGAAGGAAGTTGCATTCTGACATAACATGTACAAGAGAAGTTAGAAAGACTAAATATTTTACAGAATAAAAAGCTTTGTAAAGACAAAAAGCTCTGTAAAGCTCTTGTAAATCTTCCCTTTCCAGCTAGCATAATTAATACCTGAGAACAGAAGCTACTGAAGCATAGTTCCAGAGATCTTAAGAAAGGAAGTATTACCTAGAGGATACTTTGCTAGATCAGGAAATCTCTTCCTGCCTTTTTGCTCATCTGCAGAAATCAATATTGACCTAAGACAAAGCATTTTTCCTCTTATTGCTCCGAATTCTCCCATTCAGTACTGCGAATATAACAACACCTTTCTCAAAGAATCCTCTAAGAGAAAGCACAGTCTAAAAGGTTCATGGCCCTTTGCTCTGGATCGGAATTTTACATGACAAACAGCAAAGATTTAGAAATCAGAGGCCAAACATCTACGTGAAGCATAGGAACGTCTAATGGTAATTCTCTCTGCCTCTTTTTTAACTACTTTTTTCAACCCTATTTAAGACCAATGAATCATTGTATCCAGAATAATCACAGTCAATTATGCAAAGATTCTGGTACTACAATTAAAAGTAAACACAGCGTTGTTCCAACACGTTGTGTTATTTGTTTATCAGGCAGATGAAACATTAACCAGCAGGTTCTAGCTGGCTGCAGAGACAAGTGTACGTGCATCCAGTAGCAAAACAGTAGACTTAGCTGCTAAGTTTAATTAAGTATGATTGTTATGAAGTGCTCTTATCAAACAAATAATCAATCCCTTACCTAGTTATTCTTAGGAGAAAACTGAGCTTTACAGCTGAACTTATACTTCCTGGAGTATAAGTAAAGTCAGAAGGTTACCAAAAAAAGAGCAAGCAGGAACCCTAGCTCCAAGAAGCTAATAATTAAGACTACAAAGAACTAATGAAGGCCAAGGTCCCCAAAGCAACATGTGCGCCTCAGCAGAACTGTGCATCAGGCCCTGTGATTCTTCCCTTCTCTCTGCTCGTTTGTTGCAGCTGATAATGAGAATGTCTTCCTTAAATGAGGAGGTGAAACTAAGAGCCCATCAGATCTGAAAGAACTAAGGGGACTGTACAACCAGAGCTGAAGGATAACATAGAAAACATTCTTAATTACATAGCATGTATACCCAGAAGCTGGCACAGTATCTGGCCCCGTGAATTTTATGCCATTTTGCATGTTAGTATATTGCCTTCAACTACCAAACTGCAAAAGGTTCTGAAATAACTCAAAATTAGTGAGTGGAATTTTGGAAGTTTTTACAAGATAAGTGAAACAAGGTTTTGCAATTCTTATCTTGACAGCTAAAGGGAGCATCAACACTACCACACACGCAGAGCAAACTGGAATATCAATAGGGTTATGGAACCAGTTCAGCTCATTTGTGATTAACAAGCTTGTGATTCCTCTCAGACATGTTAATATCTGCCATTTAACATGGAATGGTATTATTTCAAAGCACTTTCCCAGGCAGACTTTAGGTAAAAGTTAGTAAGCTTTATACACAGAAACAGAGTCACCATCATTAGCTGTAGGAAACATTAATGATGGGCACATTTATTAAAATGCCTTTAAGGACTGTTAGATGAGGGTTTTGTTCTGTTAATTTAGTTATTAAAAGAATATATATTAGTGAGGCTTGCTAGCACTTTTTCATCTTCCACAATTTTTTCAAACAGGTCATATTTATCTACTCTTAAGTGACCCACCCTTACTGTGATATGGACTTTCTGTCAAATTTTTAAACCAAGACAGCCAAAGCAATGCGAGTACTGCAGATCTTCCTCTCCCAAGAGGAAACAGATAAATTGTGACACAGCTCACAGAAACATGTATGTGGCCAAGAGGGCTGTCTCTAACACAGGCACTTGAAAAAAGAAATGCTCCAGAAAAGTACTTCTAGCTATCTGCTACCTGTTGTTAGGTACACTCTTCATGTGTCAGTGAGAACGGTTGTCACAAAGCACATTCTCATTTCACATGCAAGACTGGTTCCCTGTGGGCTCACTGAGGCAGACTCAGTTCATCACTGCAGCTGTAAAATCAGCTTAAGAGGGTTCTTTTCAGATTTCCGCCCTCCCTCCCCATTCCAGGCACAATCTGGTCTATGGAACAGTTCACAGAAAGTGCTATGAATCAGGGAAGCTGAAGTGAAAAAATTCATTCCTTGTCAAACGTTTCACTTTGGAAAAACAAGAACGTTGATTTTTCTTTTCAGCAAGCTAACACAAACTGCAGTTAATGACTTCATCTCTCTCCAAATGGAAGTAAATGGCAAGCAGAAATAGAACATGGTAGAAGTAGGCAAGACAAAAAGAAGCTTAGAACTAGAACAGCCTCTTCACTGTACAGTGAAGTCTCTGCTGGGTGCCTGTTATTGAAGTGATCTCTGCCCAGTTATAGAACTCGATGTCAACTGTAGATGCTATCAAAGCTGCTTCACAACAAGTTCTGATTAAAGTTAGATATCCTGGCTCCAGATCTCACTGACCTAATCTTCCATTATGGCTCACTGGGGTAGTATTTCCTTCAAATACAACAGACATGCACTATGTTCATTTTCTAAATGAAAATGCGTAATTGAGTAAGTCATCTGCAGTTGAGTAACAGCTCACTCCATGAAGTCTTCCATGCTGCTCTGCTGCCACGGAACGCCACTCCACGGTTTTTTGGATACCAAGACACTGACTATAAAACTACCAAACACCAGAGATCTGGATGAGGCACAAGCACATCACTGATGTCAGTAAAAGCAGCATCACAGCCCATCCCTGCATTGCTTGGCTTCACATCCTATTCTGGCTACTTCAGAAGCATGGAAACTGATCAGAGGGAAAAAAAAGGAGCCAAGGACCTCTTTCCTTGCATGAGATGTAGCTGCAAAATATGTTCAGAAATGCACAGGCTGTGTCGCAACCACTGCTCTTCTAAAGCAAAGTAACTATCAACCTTTCAATTCTGCTAAAACTTCCAAAAACTCATTTTCTATACTCTACTGTAGTTTTCACAGAACTACATGTAAATGATTTTAAAATTTTTCACAGTAACAATGGAAATATTTTTATTTCTGATGTTACAAAGACAGCACCAGTATATCCAACACGGTTGTTACCTCCAGCTGGCTCTCAGAACAACTGCAAAAATCCTCATCACCTTTTACAGTTATTGCAGTATCTGGGAAGATGCTCAAAGTACTGCAGGTATAGGCAGAACAGCTGCTGGGCATTAAAGGACAGATCTACAAAGGATTTGGACATACCTGTTAAGTGTCTTGGCAGATTTTTAGAAGTTTTTAATGTTTACACAGTTCTTAAAACATTTATGAGATATAAAGCTTAACTTTCTTACTTAAGTTTCCTCTGAAAATTTCCTCCCAGTTTTGCCTAGAATGCAGTAGAAGATTTTATACATATATAACCTTTTTAAGTGTGTGTACATACGTATGCAAACTAAAACATACATTGACAACAATTTCAAATTCCTCACATCTTAAGATACCAACTGCAATTCTTGCTCTGCAGAACTACTTCACTGCCAGCTTGTCAACGATAGCGATTCACTGGTGATTTTGCTTCTATTTAGCAACTGATATTCTTAAAATATTTTAAAAACAGTATACAGGACATCTTGCCACATCAAACTGTGAATACGGTAGTACTTGCTGTCTGTGTCATTTTGAACTCATAAAAGAGATTAAAAGGACATGAAGAAGTTTAATGACGGACCAGTTATCCTTTCATCTGACAACACTCAGTACTCTCACATATTACACTGAAGTTTAATAGAAGTACTAGGTGTTCAGTATGCATACTTTTGGATAATATCGCCTTCCTCAACTTTCTTAAGCAATGAAGATTCAGTCCAAGTAAGAGAAGAGATTCTCTTAAAAAATTAAATTAAGAGAACATGCAGAGATGTGGTGATTCCATCTCCCCTGGTCCCCTGAAACTCTGCGTTCCTAGTGCCAAATTGACTTTGTTGCACTTCTAATAGTGGCAAAAAGAGAGGATGTCTCTGTCTTCTTGAAACTTCATCAAGCTAATTCCTGGATTTGAAATATACACAGCAAAAGTGAAATATTTCTACTGAAAGTTTGTATGTTTCCTAGTTACAGACAATCAATGAAGACACTGAAATGCACTTCCTCTGTAACACATATGGTCTTCTATCAGGGGGCCTCACAACAGCAGGGGCATTACTAACCATGTGTGCTGCAATAATCAAACATACCAGGCTTGAACTGAGAGCCCTGTGTAAATCAAAGGGACACTGTCAAGGCAGAGTAACCCAAACTGTAATAATCTTTAAAGAATAAAACTACTGTCCTCTTTACTTATGCAAATAAACAAAACTACCACCACATTCACTGTGAAAATGACACATTTCAGTTGCAAAAAACCAGAAGAAACTAATTCCCGGGTAGAGAATTCAGTTCAGTACTTGTCTTCACATGGGGATGTCCTGAAAAGCTACTGAAATGCCAGAACATCCTGCTCTCTGACCACCCCAGAGTAGCATTCCTTTGCCTGAGAACTTTAGTGGATTCAAGAAAGCAAGCAAAACTATGTACTAAGTAACAACTAAATTCGAGTTTAACAGCTCCACCAGTGTAATATTAGGCCAAAACCCAGCTCAGAAATCTCCTTGTTAAATTCTCAAGATCGTCAACACTTCAAACAATTTATTTTAATTATTCCTATCTAAGTTAAGATCAGAGTTTAGGGCTTTCAGGTGTACCTCACAAGTAGCTTCTGTCACACTAATGTTCTCTTAACTGATGCTAATCCTTGATCTCCACACTATATTTTGTTCTCACAATTAAATCAAAGGAGAGAGATAATGTAAAAGCTTCCTCCTTTTCCCACACATATCCTCCGACCAAATGCTCTCAAGCTGCAGGCATGCCTTCCACCAGGGAGTAGACTTGTAGTCCTCTTGTCCCTCTTGGCAGGGAGGAGAGGTGAAAACGATTTTGTCTTGGAGATGCTCGGAATGGAGCAGGTAGGAAGCTGGGTGTAGATGCCTATGACAGTGCAGGCAGGAGGGAGGGTTGGAGCAGGGCAGCACAAGCTGCAGAGCTGAGGGAGCTGCACTGCTCCATTTCAGTCTCTCACTACTGCCATCATCATCTCCTGCCAGGGAAACAGGAGCCATGGAGTTGCAAGCTCCCTCCACTCTATCACCTGCTGGCTAGAGCTTCCCAGTTGCTCCTCCAGGCCTTATCCCAGCCTGGCCACAATCTCCACCCCTTTCCCAAAGGCCTCCTATCGAAGCAGGTCACCCCATCAACTCCATGGCAGAATGCATCCAGTGAGGAACTTTCAGTTCCATTGGAAAATAAGGGCACCACAGGGAAAGTAGGATGAAGCAGCACATGAAAAATAATTGATGAATAATAAGTCAGATGTACCATGAGTTCACAAACTGGACTCAGACTCTACTTTCTAATGACCTTCCATTATCTAGGTATTCAATATCACATGTTAGTCTAATCCATGTGTTGCCCAGCATTGGCACGTACGCTTTCACAACATCAAATTTAGCAAACAAACTAATGGAAACCAGGAAATGAAGAGGCTGGTTAACACATTGAAACAACACTGATCTGTCCTCCAGAGCTGGCACGGGCAAGGGATGACACAAGAATACATCTTGTACTTCCTAGTTTCGGATTACTCTCATTCCTGCCTTGTACAGCCCAACAGTTGGCTCGCAGTGAGAGCGTGAAGACGACATCAGAGAAGACTGTTCTCAGTTTTCCACGCACATACATTGAGCAGTTTCCAACTTCCACCCTCTGGAGCAATCTTTCTACAAATCTCAACTGACAAATGGCATGAGAAGAGGTTCAAATCTACAGAAGAGGGACACACCAGGCCCTGAGCTCATATAACTGACATGTGACTATTTGCACAGCTTTACCCAATTTGAATGTAATATTCAATAAAAGGTCATGGGTGTCACGAAGTCACATGGGGCAGGTGTGAAATGCCTGATATTCACTGGTTTGATCAAACTTGATTCCTCCGGAACCCATTTAAGGAAAGTTAGCAGAACAGGCCAATTAAAAAAAACAAAACCAACAACCAAAAAAACCAAAAAAGAACCCCCAAAAAACACAGGATAACTTTTAATCAGCATCGTTGAATTCAAACAGCCCACTGTTGCGTGAGCAACAGTAGCAGCAACAGAGAGGAAATGTACCCGTTGTGTCATATTCATTGAGCGTGTTCCATACCCTTGGACAGCCTCTACAGGAAAAAACCAGTTACTTCCTATCCTCTTCAGAACAGAGAATGTTATGTTCTTTCTGGTGGGATGTGAAAGCCCCAGAAAGGCAACAACAAAAGTACCCCAGGACTTTATGACTGATAAAAACCAGTAAGGCATTCTCCCAGTCTGTGAAATATTTCCATACCTATTTGCCAAGAAGTCACCTTCCTTACTCCATTTTTAAATCTGCTTGTGCTAAACAACAAAAAGCACACGACACACATGAAAGCATAATCTGCTCAAAGTTTGTTCCCAGTGAAAGCTACGCTTCAGTGTGTACCCAAAAAGGCTTTCTAGAGGAAAGAAACATGGTACATGAAGGCAAATTTCTGCCAGCACAGCACTGTATCATGTCCAGGGTCATCCCAAAAATGTCAGCCCTCCCCGTATTTGTGCTCTTTCTGTTCTTCTGTCCTCTTAGCTACTGGACACAGCATCCCTGGGCTTCCTGCACTTGCTCTTAAAGACAACTCCTTACTCTGTACTTGTTAAGGGTGTTTATGTTGTTTTATCCATAACATTAAGGAAACTCAGTGAAACTCAGCTCTAAGCCAGAGATATTACAACAGCAAGAAACTAGTAAGAGGTATCTGTAAAATGTAGAGCATGCAGCCAAGGAAGAGAAAGCCAGTGCAGAGGGAGACAACCTCTGCAAGATTTGGGACTACAACCTGGTCTGTTCTGATGGAAGAGCCTCAGAGACCTATTAATTTGGAGTAGAGGGAGGAAAAAATACCTCAGATTTCCTTTCTTTTCACTGGTTCACCCCTGGTTTTCTCTAGCAGAACCAATAAAATATGTAACTTTACAAGGTTACACTTCTACATCTATTTTACGCTTAATGTTCTGCTGAAAACTAATATACCTACAAAACCCATACCCTGTGCTTTTGCCCCAGAACAGCCCAAACAATACAGGTGGGTCTGTTAAAGTTTCCAGGTGGTTATTACTCTGTCAGAGACAGACCTCTGGTGGCCAGGCAGTGCCTGACACTTCAGAGCACACAGCTCCCAGAACAGAGGGAAAAATACATTCTGAAAACACAACTTGCCACCAAAACTGAGACCATGAAGAAAACAAGTGAAGGAGCCATCGGGGGGATCCAGCACAGCTCACTGCTGTGAAAAGCTCAGAAGGCGTTTATATTTGCCCCAGTGATATCACTGAGCTGAACTCTAGACCTGATTGCTGTCACAATAAAATACTTTGCAATTTATTTTATTTTTACTGTGAAAATACCTTAAAATACAAATTCTAGATATCAGAGAAAATCCACAGAGTGGATAAAGGGAAGAATATTTAAAGTCTCCTGAATTTAAAGTTCTTCCTGAATTCATATCTGACTGTCTGCACTTGTCTAAGTTGTGCTGTACCAAACATTCACATCATCCAGCACAGCAACTCCCATCACAGTATGCAACACAGAACTGTATTGGAAGCACCTCTTCAGATTTGAAGTCAGCCTTTTCAGAGAGAGGAATTTGTGCAAGCCTTCTGCATCAATCCTCTATTATAAAACTTTGAAAAAGGATTTTCTTTTTCCAGTAACAAAACTCAAAATTAAGTAAAAGAAAAAAACACACCTACTATTACACAATGTTGGCATTTTTCGAAATAAAGCATGAATTATGTAAGCTGTTAAAGTGAGCTCAAAGAGCATAAAAAATGAAAACCTGAAGCATGAAATATTAACTCTACATAGTTTTTGCAAAAAAGAATATTCATCTAACAGACTTTAAAAGCAAGTGTATTGGTATGAACTCAAATTCTCATCATTATATGCTCAGAGAAAACAAAACACTGCTGACTGTAACCAACTAAAGACTCACGTGGAATTGAACGTGGTTGAATTTTCTCTTCTTTTTGTAAATCCCACAGGCAGTGTTTTCAGCTCAATATTACACCCTCGAGCTTTGTTTCTCAAGCACTGTAACTGGCAAAAAATAAAAACACTGTTTAAAAATCTCTGAATAATATATTTAAAACCTGAAACTTAAACAATAAAAAGCTGACAGGAATTATCAGAAATTTGTGGAAAAGGCCATATTTAATATAATACTTTGAATTTAAAAAAAACCATAATGAATGAAAAAGTTAATAAAGTAAGCCTAAAAACTCTCTGAAACATTTTCAGAAGCAGTTTTTCTATGATTAAACAAGAAGACACCAATGGGCTCTTCATAGTAAAAGTTCTTTAACATATCATGAAAGTTACAGGCAGCTCTCTTAGGTATAATATCACCATGTGGCTGCTTTTTGGGCTACAACCCCATCAGCAGAAGAGATACACAAGCACCATCTCAGACACAAATTCTAATTTGAAGGTAGCACTATGGGTATCATCCTACAAACATATCCAGTACCACACCCCAAAAACTGCTACCTATCTTACCATCTTCAGCCCATGTTTTCAGGACATCATGATACCAAGCACGCACACAGAGTATGACTCCAGCCTGAGGGAAAGCTGGAGTCTTCTGAATTTATTTTTGTCATTAACATGAGTTCTCTCTGAGTTCAGTGCTATATTTAAAGATGTCTTCAAAGACTGGAAAACAAAATGGTCCCAATGCCTTTTTGTGACATGTCAACAAGTCAAAATAGTTTGTATCAGATTTGGTTGTGGTTTTTTGTTGTTTGTTTCTTTGCGGGTATGTTTGCTTGGTTGGTTGGTTGTTGAAAGAGCTTTCACAAAAGCCCCCTCACCCTTAGAAGGCTGGCTTTTAAGTCATAGTTGTGTAGACTTGTTCTTTGAAAAACACTAGGTGCCTTCATTTAGCATACAGGGAAGCATAAAATAATTTTTAGGCAATAAATAAACCCATTGCTTACCTTGGAATTTTGTACTTAAAAATTCAGAAACATTGTGGAGGTGGAAGAAAACATTCAGGCTTTCTTAAAACACATCTATTATCCAACAGTAACAGTGATCATGCATCAATTTTAAGAACGTACATAGTTAGCAATCTATTCTTCTAAGCAACTGGACGTAGCCATCAATACTATTATTGCATAAACCTAGAGACTTCTTTTGATGTCTGGCTCTCAAATCCAGGGCCACACCTTCGTAGGAGAGGTATCAGCTCTGAAATCTGGATTGGGACTGCCTCAGTGGAAATTCAAACGTAGTCAATCCTAACTCTAAAAGACCAAGTGGCTAATTAAAAACTTACAAGTCTTTTTGTTGCTGGACTATGCACAATACAATGTCGAGCAGCAGCATCAGCTGTCCTTCCTACATCTTCCAGGAAACGATAATCTGAAGATAAAAAGAGAACAAAGAAAAATGTAGTGCTAACCCAGTAAAATCAAAGAATTTTAAAAAGCACAAGGTGCATTCTTACCACTCAAAAGGTTCAAGTCAGTAAATTCATTTACAGAGACAAAGGCTGTTTTATCCCTGACTCCGTTACAGCTCAGTGCAAGCTTATGTTTCTTTACACACAACAGACTGAAACGACAAAAGGAAAAGATAAACATGTTTAGCACATAATGGAGAAAACACCCAAAACAGTTTAATTCAGATAACAGATACCTGCACGAATATTTCATGCATCGTGGACATCTGTATTTAGCTTCTTCTTTGCTACAGGTTTCACATCTGAAAGAAGCAAAAAACACGTCTTAATAAAGCAGCAGCTTTGTGCCTGACTAGCCTAAGAAGGTGCCTGCTCAACAACCAGGCACTAGGCCATCCATGGTATTTTCAGGAAAAGCTATCTGCACCTTGAAAGAAAAAAGAGAAAATACAAATGCCCTGGATTAGAAAAGGTGGCAGACAAAACAACACAAGCTACGGGGAATATCTCCAAACGCATACATATTAAAACACAGTACCTGGAAGAAGAAAAACCCAACCCATGCTAACTCAGAGCTGGAACCACAGCAAGCCTTCAGCAGTTTACTCTCTGTGGCCCAGTTGTATCAGTGCTTTTCTCCGTTCACACCACCTGTAACGTGCACTGTACCATGCTGGCTTATAATACTCCCAGTTTTAGGCAAATGGAAAATAAATGTCGAGGATTCACACTAACGCCTGAACAACGCATCCCATTTTTTTCACTGAAACAGAAAGACCATGACAACATGGTCAGGCAAACAATTTCTGGCTTCTGTTCAGTAGTGCAAACCCTGAAGTCAAGGAACCTTTCAGGCATAATATGTAAGCCTTATGAATACAGCTAACAAATATTATATCAGTAAAAAAAAAATTCCTCTAGAAATATGATCTTACGCTTTTTAACTAGGCTATTGCAAGTGATGTTTCTACCATTCTTAGAAAAAAGTTCTTTATGTAGTAACTGAAATAATCGTCACTTTTCATTTATTTTAACTCTGACAAGCACGGGAGAGAAATAACCCTTCCCGCACGTCAGTAAAGTTTTCTAGAATGGTACAAAGCCACCATTTTCAACGGGTGGAGGAGAAGCGTCAGCCTCAAGCCATTTCTCTCCTCCCCACCACGTGCTTGCTGCCCGCTGGCAGTGGGGGTCCGAAGGACAAGCTCAGCAATATCACCTCCTGACGAGCTGATGGATTTGTATACCGGCAGCACAAAGTGCTGTAAGAACCGGAAAAAAAGTGCTTCACACACTGCAAAGCAGAAACGGTGAATTACTCTGAGCAAGGCCTCCTTTTCCCGTTTTTGCAGTATCTCTGCAGTGCCGGCCGCACCTCAGCGGTTCAGAGAGAGCTGTGCCGGGCGCGCCCTGGCGCAGCCCCGGGGAGCAGCGCTCGGGCCCTCCGAGGGGAAACGAGAGGGCGCGGAGGCTGCGGGGCACAGGATCGCCGCCGTGTCGGTCCGGCGCTGCCTTTTCCCTCCGGCGGCCGCGAGGAGGGCGCTCCCCTACCTGTGCAGGGACATCTTCCCGCCGCCCGCGGCCGGCGGGGCGCTGCCCGTGCCGCCCCCGTCCCGCTCCGCCATGGCCGCGCCACCGGCCCCGCGCGCGGCCCCACGGGCCGGGCGGAGCCACGGCGCGCTCCCCGCGCGGCGGCGCCGCCTGGCGGCCGCTCCCGACACACGCTCCCTCGGAGGGAGCGGGACGCGCGTCCCAGCGCCAGAGGTTTTCCCAAACACACGGGAGACTTTCCGAAACACGCACGGCGCCGCACACCAGCGCACCGCCGAACGGGCGCTTTCGCCACGCGGTTGCGGCGCTTCCCAACCCCGGGAACGCGGTTCACCGTTACCTGTCCGTGTCCGGCTGCTCCAGCTCGGCGTCCCATCTCTCTGCGCGGGATGAGCATTTTTGCCTCAACTACAGAAACACACATCCGAGCAGCCTTCTAAAGCTTTAAGCTCCTTGTTTTAAAAATAGATAATTTCCGAGATGTAGAACTTCCAAAAATAGTACAGTGAGAGGAATAAAAATATACATGAAGCTGAACATTTTCCAAAAGATTATAATAATAAAAAACCACCCCAAACATTTGTCACAACATCAGCTCCAAAGCCAAACTAACAGCACATGTCAAGTCCTAATGTCAGTGTTTTGATCTTGAAAATGCAAAAAGCTAGACAGTTTCTCTAACCTTTATCGTCACTCTGTGATCTTGTTTTGTCTTTGGTTTCAACAGATTTTCTCAAAGTGATCAAAACTGATGCTTCAATACAAAATGTTAAATGGGATGTACATGTACGTTACCTTGTAAGAGCAGACACTGTCCCCCTGGTAGTACGCCATGGCATAGGGAATATGCGTTTCCCCTTGGGAAAACAAGTACTGCCACCTAACAGAAGTGCCCTTTCAGAGGATTTTCATCCTTACTAAAAATGACCTACACGATACGAAACAGAATAGTAAAAGACAAACAGATAGCTTGGAAGCTTATTTTATTATACTTTGGTAAGTGTGGTTTCCTGAAGATCAAGCAGACAAGTTATTCGAGCACTCCCCTGCTCCCCGCTACAGTCTGGCATCACCCTGCCATGTACTCCTGAGCACGCTTTGAATTGATAATAGGTAGAGGCATATCAATATAAAGAGTGCTTTTGCTAATGGTAAAATTGTTCTTTTTTACTAAGAAAATTTGGCTGAACATTTTAGAATTAATTAAAAAACCCCAAAATGATCTGATAACTTTGCAAAAAAATGGAATTTCTAAGAGGATGAAATGCTGTTTGTAGTTTAACAGCAGCCATCCAAAAGATACGCTGTAGTAGATTTTTTCAGAAGTTACAAAATATATACAGAATGTATCATCTGAAGATGGCTTTGGCATTAGCAATGTTAACTGAAATACAGACTCTAAAACTCAAAACTACTTTAGGTAGCTCTTCTACAAGAATTTTTACAATGGCTGTAAAGTAAACTGTTCTGAATATATGCATCATATACAATATGCTGTCCTATATACCATTTTCCAAAATAGTACACAAAAATATTTTAAACAAGAAATCCACATAAATAATGTTTTCATTGTAGTGAAGTATGTGACCGACAATTTAAAATAAGTACCTTTACAACAGAAACATATCCTGATGTAACCAGCACATACAGTCTGAAAGAAAAGGGACTCAATAATCTCTGCTAAGGCCACAAGCACCTTGTGTTATGAAAAGCACCAAGGCAACACGGACAGGAAACACAAAAGAGGTAGTGTGCCATCTGTTCAGATGTATGTGTCCACAAAGGACTAGAATAAAACAATGTTTAAGAAAAGAAGACATATTGTACTGTACTGTGGCATGATTCACTTTTCATATATAAGCTATTGCACATTCAGGAGCATTAGCAGATATTGCTCCCTCAGGATCATATGCCTCCTGCTTTTCTCAGGATGATTTTTTTGCAGTGGTGTTAAAGAAATTGTTAAGAACACTTGACGTCCTGAAAAATCCATGTTCAGATACTCCATTCCAGGAAATTATGCAAGAAAGCACCAAGAAATTTATTTTTAAATACTTTAAGAAAATTGTTGCAGTCTTTTCTCTCTTTCTTTTATTTTTCAATGCTATTTCTCCTAAGGAGGAAGTCTTTTTCTTCCTGAGGTTCTTTAACCAACAGTATTTAAAATGATTCTTAGTTTCCTAGTCATTTTGCCTGTAATGGATCATTACTTTTGCATTCAATCTATGCAGAACCTCCATGTTGATGAAAGAAAAACAGGACAGAAACCTTAAAGGAAGCACACTGAACCACTTTCTACGAAGTGCTGCTGTCCTGGTTTGAGGTGAGGAAGTGCATTAACTTGAACCACTGGAAGCTGACTAGTGTCCTGAGTGTGAAAAAAGAACTGTGTCTTACGCCAGCTGCCATCTTCAATCTGCAACACACAGAAGAAGAATATTAGATTCATATAAAAGATGTCCTTCGAAACACAAATGAAAATTGTGCTTATAGAGAGGAAGAGAAGTAGTGCACAGAAACATTTTTTCTTCTAGCAATTCCTATAGAAACTAATTCCTATAGAATCTAATCTAGCAAATGCCATTTCTCCCTTGCAATACCATGGACACTCTGGGCAAAGCTGAAGCCAGAAAACAGCTGAGCCCAGAATCCAGTTTGAGTGGATGCAGACACAGTGCAACATGTCTCAGAGCAGAACACCTTTGCAAGCAAAGTGACTCATATAGATTCTAAATTCACCCCCAAATCTGAACAGCAGGTGTCAGGTTATCAACTCTACAGGCACTTGAATGACTCTGTAGGCCCTTGAAAAATAAACATGGGAATCAGAGATGCATTTTTGCTATGAGCTTTGTATTGTTTACTCTAATCCTTAAAAAAAAATCTCAGTAAAAATTGATACCTCATAATAATTATAAAATAGTATTATAACAGTGCCTGAGGCTGGGAGTGCTTTGATGGTTGCAATCAATCCATTCTTAAAAACCATCGAGTACAGCGTATACCACTGAAAAATGGAATCCCTTCAGAGAAGGGAATGTGTCAGATTCTGCAGCAGACTTGTACAGCACACAGTTTCCCACAGAAAGAGTGACAGACCTTGTAGAGTCTCACAGAAAAATGGGACTTCTCAATAGCCATCTCAGTGTGCCCTAATTTTTCTCAGGGGATAAAACAGTCCCAAACAGACTGGAAGGTGGGGAGAAGGGGCTCCAATGGCCATATTTTATCGGCATGACACAGGCTAGAGCATCTAATTAGCATCTGCTAATAAAGGTTCCAAGCATAACGGCTTTGAAGCACCTCAGTAAAGCCACTTTCTGTTTTGAGATTAAAAATCTCACCCTTGTATCGATATTGAACCAGCCTCATGCCTTTTGTTATTGCAAATGAAAGTAGAGCTATAAAATATTGAAAGTGTAAGATGCTTGGTTGCTATATTTCACAGTGTTCTCCCACGAGTTTTACCAAATGTCTCAAATCTTGGTGAGTAATCTGAACATTTGAACATTAATAAGCTCTTCCAATTTTTCCTAAAAATTTCCTAAAATACAATATTTTAGTTAGCTATGGACTCAATTTCCACTCATTATTATTTTCTGAAATAATCAAACAATTGACTCATAGTCAGTGAATTTAAAGGCATTTAGTTGTTCAAAAATAATGTCCAGCCTGTTTGAACCTGAAATTTTGTGTTAAATAATCTCAGCAGAACTCTTACTAAAGCCTGAATTTTCATTTTGACAGTAACTATTTTTAAATTTTCCTGGTGGACCTCCTTATTTCTCTGCTGATATCTCTCCAGTGTCTTCATACAGTCTCAAAATACGAGACACAATGCAAACAGCAAGTATAGATACTCTGTATCACTGTAATTTGTTTTACCTTTCAATAGATGTTGAATTCAGTATCAAAAGGCTGGCATGTGCAGAACTAGGTAAAGAAGCAAGCTTTAAGGGGTGTGAATCTAAATGATTGTTATTTATCTGCAGAAAGTTAATAATGTCTACACAGTAACTCCAGTACTGTTTTAATAATGCTAATGCTAAAAACTATTTACCATGCATTCATCCATAAGGACCTTTGGTTCAAGTAGTGTATTTGCTTTAAATATTTGACCGTTCCATCCTTTGAAGGTAACTGATGTCTTCCGGCCACCTGCTTTATTTAATCCCCACAGTGGTGTGTTCAGACAATGAACTGTGATGCTGTGGGTTGCTTCTGAGCTCAGTAAATGAAGGAAGTTCATCTGCACTTTTCCAACGCCAAACTCCAGCTAAGTTCCAAGAGAAAGATATGGTTAGACTTACGGCTGGACTATGCTGAATGGCCACAGCAACACAAAGTGCCATGAACATACAAGTGGTGTTCAGGAATAGGAGAATGTATACATGTTTATATACATTGGGATCAATGCCAAAGAGCATGATTTGCATTCTTCAGGGGAGATGTCAGGTTCTATTACAGTGATTATTATAAACAGAAGCTTTCATAGGACATTTTCAAAGCTTAAATATAAACATTTGCTAATGCTTATAACATTGCTGAAACACAGCTGGGCAGAAAAAAACCTATTTTTAAATAAGGAAACTGAAAGAAATGCTTTTGTGATTCAAAGATATTACCAGCAGCAGTGTTTTAACTGCAGCCACATCACTCTGCTGTTTAGTTTTCTTAGACCACAGGTTCTGGTAATACCAATATCCCATTACAAATGCAAAAATTCACAAGCATATTTTGATTTTAGACAGAAAATATAGTTAGTAATTACTCAACAAGAATTTCTCCAAGACTATTTCATATTCAGAGATCTTTCAAATACAGGAATGCATATGTGAACTTCATGGCATTTCTGATGCTCTTCAGTGACTACAGTGTACATGCAAAACTCCACAAACAAAAAATTTCTTTTCCCAAGAGTTCAAGAACTTCACGTACAAAGGAGCATGAACTAACGATATAAAGGAAACCAGTCTCTCCCTAATGGCATTTAGAAGTACCTAGGTGTTGAAAAGCAGAAATAATTTTCATCCTTCCCATTGCAAAGACCTCAGCATCTCCACACTTAACTGCCCTGAGTGTTGAGATACT